TTCGCAAATAGTTAAGGATGTGGGCTGTTCTAGTTTTAGGGAAATGCGAAGTTTAGCTCAGAATAGGAAAGAGTGGAGGTACGTGTCCAACCAGTCTTAGGACTGATGACCTTATGATGATGATGATATTCAACAGTAATTCGTGTTTCAAAACCATTCTAACAAAGAAACACAATTTCGGTTGTAAATTTTATCCATTTAGCGACAGATTAAAAACTTATTGAATCATTTTTATTAGCACGTACCTACCTATCAGATTTTTCATTTTATATTGTTGTCGTTTAATAGAAAATATTGACTTTTACCCTATACAAGACCCAAATAATAAAACAGTAAATATATTAGAGGGAGGTTGAAGTTTTCCATGACTGGTAAATGAGTCAAACATTAGTATGGGTTTGTGCTATCAAAATCAATGAATTTTCATTAAAAACTGGTCAAACTTGTATTGCAACATGAGTTTTGTTCTTGTGGAAATTGTACAATTGATATTGAAAAAATTTATTTACTGACGAAAACACATTATAGAATTTTATGACGATTGTAAGCAGGTTCAAAGGTGTAGTGGATATATATATATATATATATATACATATATAATCCTTTTTCTTTTCGGATAAAAGAAAACTAGTTGACACATTGTCATCAACATGATCCGATAGAAAAAGAATTAATTAACCCCGTGGGGTCATATTTATTGCCGTGTTCTTAACTACGCCAACTTGGCGCCCGTACAAAAAGAAAGCGGCAAAAGCTGTAAATGTGAATAAAGAAAGTGATGTAGTCCATTTAGCGATATTGGTTTCACATCAAACAGTATTCAGCATATTCAATAAAAGGGCATTAAGATGGGGATAATAACCTTACGTCTTACAAGAAAATATTCTCCAAGGTAGTGGCAACAAACTCGTCACGGTGTTATTTACAAACCTTAGTTATTCTTGTGTCTACCAAACGCAAAGTATTGTTTACAAACACACACAACTAAATATATATGTAGCTATAGTTGAGACGTTTAAAATTGGCATAGTTCACAATAAAACTGCTACGTTTAGTTTCTTCTGTCAACTTACTACCTAGACTAGAACGGTTGGTGATAACAGCGCCTACTTTCTCGCACGACAGACGTCATATAGGGAATATTGTAAATAGAGAAGAGAGATGCTAAGTAGCAATTGCAGCGGACACTAACAAAGAAAAAGGAATAACATTACACCAATTACGCCAAAGATCCCGGGTTCGATTCCCGACGGGGGTGTGATAACAGCAACAATTTTTCCCTCATTAATTTGAGGTAGTTTGTAGTGGGCAAAATTCAGAAATGAATTTTTAGAATAATATTTCATATTACACCAATTAATGTGCAACAGAAAGAGATGCAACAAGCAGAATTTGAGCACAGATTAATTAAATTACACTAAATCTTTGTTTTCAGGTTGGTGGACATCATTTCTACACGCCAGAGAAACGGTAAGTTTCATGTTTAAAAAGAATTTTTAAGTACTTTTTGGTTAAAGGAGTATTCCTTGACAACTTCTTTGTTTACATTGCTGTAACAGTTCTTTTTCAGCCTGTTTTATTTTTAAATCTAGAAAAACAAATAAAACTTACGAATTCAGTAAAGAAAGCTTTTGAAAATGCCCTAATTTGATTCAATCGGAGCAAGAAATTGTTCTCTGAAGTCGAATTTTTATACAAGGTCCATTCTAAAAAGCCGCGTCATTTTGTTAACAATTTAAAAACCACTTACCTATGTTAAAGTCAATTTTCTTACTTGTTATCTATCTTGATATTAGTATCAGTTCGCGTACAGACTCTGTGGAACTGCAGCAGCCCCTGTCTCCACTTGATGTTTCAAAAAGAGATAAATATATATACGAAAATATTAAAGTGGAACTGTGCGCCTTGCAGCTCCAACGGTGTGACGTTTTAGTAGACGTGCGCATGGGTACGCGAGATTACGAGGGGGAAGAGTACTATCGCTTGGGCAGTGCGAATGCTGGCGTGCTGATGGAAGACAATTTTTTACTTTGTGTGCGTCCGATATATTTTTGCCTGGTCCTAGTTCCTTTTAATCCTCAAATACAGGCCACGAAATCCCATCTTTTTAACTCATTAACATATAAATTTGCAACAAATCCGTGAAAAAATTTTAGAATAGAACCAATATGTAAATGAACAAATATGTAAATAATGTTCGACCAAACCGAACATTTCTTTCCAATATCATTTGAAAAGTGGGTTATATATTCTTTATTGCCCGTCGAACTTTTGCAAAACGCTATAAATACAAGGATTCCAGGGTAGGAATTAACGTAAATTCGGTCGGATAGTCGTAAACAAAACAAAAAAAGAGGACGATGCCGGAAAAGGGGTTCTTTATGCCTTGAAAAAGGGAAAAACTCGAAGCATATATTGCATTCGTTATTGAATAAATCTTTTCTGAAGACGGCCGTTCTACAAAGGGCTCCCCTTTTACTGTACAATGACCGTAATTGTATGAGACGGGCACGAGAAGAGAAGGAATAAGATTATGGTAAGGGATTTACAAATTTGAACAAAAAAGTTATGGAATATTTGACTTATCTTATACTGAAAATTCTACTGTAGCTTCCCACATATTTGACATGAAGAAATTGGGCAACAAAATACACTTAAAATCCACCCCCGACCCCCAGTGGGTAATAGTTTGAAGTTGTATATTTTCATTCGTAATGTAAAAATGTCTTAGAAAGTCCGCGTCTTCTGCAGACAGTGGCGTAGCAAGGATTTGAAAAAGACGGAGGCACTAAGTAGAAAATTTTCAAAACCTCAAATGTTAATTTTCTATCCAGTACTGAAACGTTTGTTTACCAATGTTGAGATAACAACATTTTTTTTAACAATTGCTTGTCACACTTCTCATGGTGCAACCAAATGAAAAAGAAATATCCTGGTCATTGGGGGACGGTGGGAGTTTCAACCCCTTAAACCCGCTACGGCTAAGCCAATGTTTTTTAAACGTTTTTATGTGAAATTTTGTGTTTTATTTTATTTAATTTTCTATGTAGAAGTTAAATATGTCGGGTGATGATACGTGATGTTTTTTTTTTGAGACCTTACTTAATTAAAAACGATAATTTTCAGTAATTTATTTTAAAATTAAATTGTACATTTACTTTTACATTAAAATAGTCATTAATATTGATAAAGATACACATGCACATCATGGTACGTTCATCAAGCTAATCGGTGAAATGGCGAAAGTCTAATATAACATTATACATAAATCGGGCACGTACACAAGACAAATCAATGGGAAAATTGTCGCTGCTGTCACACCCTCGCCGGGATTCGAACACGATACCCTTGACTTTACGCACCGATGCTTTAACCACTAGGCTGCGAGATGAGACAGCAGAAACAACGACGAAACATGCTTTTGAGGAAATTTGTAGTGGATAAAAATTAAATTAATTTTCACATTAATATTTATAACAATTCCTTTGACTTTGATATAAAATAACAAGTTTACGATAAATAATAATGTGTACGCACCTGATATTAATACTTTTGTTTGATTAATATTGTGCTATCATCAGTTCAAGCCAAGTCACTGTTAATCTGTTCCATATAACGCACCAAATCAGAACTTGTAAATTCACTATCATCGACGTCTTGTAGACTAGAATTACTTATAGTGTTGGTAGCACTTGTAGTGCTTTCAATACTCCCCTGCCGATTAAAATAGACCGCTTTATTGTGAAAGATGTGAAACAATCGGTATTTAAGTCTGTCAGTGTTAAAATCCGTTGGATAGTTGGTTCTGTATCCGTACCGTTTTAAATCGTGGGGGACGTGTCTGGGCTTCCTTCTGAGATTGAAGGAACCGTTCGGGATGAGGGCAGATTGAGGTGTTGGCGGTACGTTGCTTGGTTCGCTCGAATCGAAACGACTTTCCCTTGGCAAGGTTGAAATGTTACTCTCGTTCCGGGGTAATATCTTGGTGTCGTTGCAATGGCCGCTGCTCCGGAAATCCTGCACTTCCGTACAGTCTGTCGGCCTGTCTGCGCGAAATGACTTCTGGTACTTGACCAGGGACAGGTAGAAATCGGATCTTTTTGAACGGGAACCTTTTTTGCAAATTTGCACGAGCGTTGCCTGCAACAAAAGAAAACTAAAATAACTAAACGTATTCAAAATTGTTGTAATGAAATACAATTGGGGTCTTTTTTTGTCCTAAATATTTCCATCGCCGCAGTTTCCTTTCCAATTTTAGGTAGCAATAAACAGTATCTACACGTATCAGTACTCATTGCCAGTTGACTTAAAGACCGTTTGTCTGACTCATTCGCGCTAAAACGTCCGGCATTTGACATACTTCACTTGCAGCGATCACACACGGCCGTGCAAATCATCAGCGCTTTGCATTGGCGTTTGAAACATGCGTTGTTTTATACAACCCCACACAAATTTGGTAAAAATTGGTATTAATAAATAGTATCTATTCATATCTGTACTTATTGCCAGTTGACTCAAAGACCGTTTGTTTGACTCATTCGCGTAAAAACGTCCGGCATTTGTCGTATTTCATTTGCAGCTATCACACACGATCGTGCAACACGCGTTGTTTCATACAACCACATACAAATTTAGCAAAGAAAAACGAGTAGAGCAACACTGATATCACGTTTAAAGAAAAAAAAAACAGAAGAAACAGATTTTAGTACCTATCTACGAGGTAACGCTAAAAACTACCTTTCGGGCTTGTAATAATCAAGACCAATAAACTTGTCAAACTTTCGGGGGTATGTAAACAAACTTGTATTCCTTTCACCTAGTTGAATCTGGAGTAACGACTTTTCTTTCGAAATTAGGATCTCGTTTCCTTTTTTCAGCTAAAGCTAAACTGCTCCTAAATGTATCCAGAAACTTTTGTAAAGACGAAACTTTATCATGTGTATAATATAACGACCATGGGCATTAAGGCAGGCGTAGGCGCTTGGTATTAACGAAAGGAGTGTATAACTTTTTAAAGTTTTATTGGCAAAGATATCTTTTCGTTCTTCTTCGAAATCGCAAGAATATTTAAATGCCATTAATACGTTACTTCTTTTATCATAGTTGTAATTTTTTTCTCTATATGAAATCGAGTTTTAATGAAAATCTTTAACTTGTTTTCCCCTGAAAATACCACAAATGGCGCAGTAAACGCCATCTGTAGTACGATGCTACATTTTAGGATTACGTATGCTCCAACAAGGTCCATTTAAATATATGGATACCTACTTGCTGAAACGAATCCCGGCGTAACTAACCTCAATGTGATAGGCATGTAGCATCGTATTACAGATGGCGTTTACTGCGCCATTTGTGGTATTTTCTCAAACGGGCTGTTAAGACAGCAGGTAAAAGTTAGTCTGTGTTCTGTCGGGCTGCCTGCGACGCGCTGAAGAGATCCAAAAAGATCGACATCGCGATCCGCGTCTGGCAGTTTCGACAGAATACAGAGCACTTCGAATTATTTTATTTGTTTTCCCCCTTTATTTACCACTAGAGAATCTTCAATCTATTTTTGAGTTTTGAAGTCGATCCAAAATTTGTTTTATTGTTTTGACCTTTTACTAATGAGAAGAGTCAAAGAAGGGCGTTCGCCTGTACACGAGCTCTTGTCTCTTAATAAACAGCCAATTTTGTAAATTTTAGTATTTTATCCAACTGAGATAGACGGAGAATAATGTATTATTATTTACAATAGGAAACAAACAAGAACAATCATAAACATCACAGCGGTCTCTGCATTATGTTGCTGAATTGGTCTAATTTGCTAAATTTTGAAGTAGCATTTTGTTTAACAGGGATGAACATATTGACAGAATATATTTTGTATATTACAGTATTAAATAATCTGCATACTTTACAGCAAATGGCAAGAGTTTGCACAAGTCGTAGGTTCATGTACCTACCAAATGTGAAATTCAGTGTGTCGCATCACCTGTATGACCTTTAAGGCAGTGGTTTCCAACCTTTTTGTACCTGCGCCCCCCTTTAAAAAAGAATTGTTGCGCCCCCTTAATTTTTCTAACAGTCTAATTTCATAAATACTCAACTGATATTATAATTTATTTAATGGGCTACAAAATAATATACAATATTATGTAAAAATATACATAAAATAGATGGATGTTTTAGCATTTGTACCCGAAAAATTCGCGGCGAGGATTGTGGATTACGTATACCTACTTTGCTGATTCATTTTTTCGACACCTATTCGACTTTTTTGGTTTGTATTCTAAAATAATATTTTGGAATCAGCTGCATGCCCCCCCTAGGGGGGCGCGCCCCACAGGTTGGAAACGTCTGCCTTTAACGTCTGCATGAATAACTTTAGCCTAACCTAACCTAACCCAAATATGTGATTTATTTCAAAGTATCGAGCTGTATCAGAACCAATTAAATCAGATATATATTTACAAACACACGCAAACATACTTCTTTTCCAAATTATGTTGTAGTGCTACACTTACCGTAAAATTTCAAAATATGTTCCCATAGACTGAGAAGTTAATAAAAAATAAATTTACACAATACAATAAGCGCTATAAATATAAACGTTCATAAAGAAATTGTGAAAAAGGAAATAAAAATGCCATTATATACACCCATAATATCGCTTATAAAACGCCAAAATTATTTCCCAATAAATAATTTAATTTTTTCTCACTCTTCTTTCATCCCAAAGGGACTACACAATAGCGTAATATAAGAAGAAACCTTATTAATTTCTTTTATTAGACGGAACATGTACTCGCTGGGGAAATTTTTGACATATACCTTACTAAAAAAATACTTAAATTTTAAATTAAAATAAGACACCAACTTTAACTTATACGAATTCCGCTGCAAAAGGCTTCATTAAATTAATAATTTTTATAAGCAATTTCTATTGTATTCGCAATCAGATTCTGTCCGACGACAACATGATTTCTTTATATATTGTACTGTTAAGGAAGCAAAGTTTTTTGCTTTGATTCTAGGGAATCCTTATTTATATAGGTAGGTACTTATACCAGCAAATTCTGCAAAAACGGGAATTTTAATAACCGCTTTACGGTAAACGAACTCCAACAGAATGATATATGATGTAAACATAATAGGCTTTTCGAAGAGCACACAGCATCTGACTATAGTGGAAAAGTAAATTTAAGAAGAAAATAAATTAGGCCTATCACATTTACAAATTGGAATGTCGCTAACAATAAGGTATAAAAATTAATTCTGCAAAAGACTGCCACCGCGAATGTGGTTTGCACAACAGCAAGATATGCGTGTGTGTATTTTTAGTGAAATATCGAAGACAGTATTGTTTTCCGATAGATTTTCTTTTCAATTTAAAAGTTGTTACCTATTGGGATCCGTCAAATGGGCATACACCATCTGGTGGCAAAATTTATAACTCGAATGAGGGAAAAATTTACATAGGAACTGTGCATGCAAATTGTAAAATTGTTTATTAAAATAATAAAACACGTTAAAAAAGTAAAAATTTTTTTGATGATGGAGTCGACGAAGTTTTCTTCTAAAGTTAAATCAAATAAAAAGTTAATATGTTCAGTGAAAAGCTGCAATAGCACTTCAGACATAGATCTTCACTCTTCACCTACATTAACTACTTTCCAATAAAAACTAACCGTTTTATATATGTAAAAAATATATTCGGAAAATTAGAGAAAAAAGTAAACTAATAGAAGCTTGGATGAAAGCAGTAGGTATCAAAGAAGTGAATTCCGGAATAAAAATTTGTTCACGTCATTTTAATGCACATGATTATATTTCAGCAAGTATTTACCATCAGCCATAACCTTAATATTTAAAACTAGAATCATACTAAAATTATAAAGTGAGAAATTATTTATTCCTGTGTAATTGATTTAACACAATTCTAATGATACGATATAAGTATTTTGAGGTTAAGAACCTACCTGCTGCAATACAACAAAGTTGCAATAATGTGTTTGCAACGTTCTCTTAAATCGGCTTTGCACGTGCAAGTCATTGATATGATATTGCTTAAATCACCCAGAATCACCTCACCAATTATATAACGTGAATCACTTTTTAAATCCGAAGTTTGTAAAAAGTAGGCAGTAAACTTGACGGAATTTGAAGGCTAGCTTCCGGATTTGTTATTTCCGAATTTTATAATGTGATTGGCATTAAAAACACGCTCACCTTCAACGAAATTTCCTTTCCGAGGCTTTGTGTCAGCCCAATCACATATTGTGTCAATACTTATCATTTTATCGTAATTTAAAAACTTGGAAATTGCACGGTACACTATAGGAACTACGACAAATTTTCCCTAATCGGCGCCATGTTTTTAGGCTCCTCCCATTTGACGGATCCCAATAGCGTGTCTATTTTAATATGGCGGCTAATATAATAAAACTGTCAGCAGGCGACCGCCTTTGTCTTCTCCCAACTGGAATTGCCAATTAAGTGTAGCACCATTCAAACAGAACCAATTATATCTTAAAATTTACAACGATAAGATTTATTGTCCCTTAACATTGTCATCCTCTTTCAGAGTGCGGATATCAAGCATTTGACTGAATAAATCTCTTGAATGTTTTATTGCTACAACAGCCACTTTAAAGTAGACAGACTTTAGTTGTGTTTCTTATTTCAAAACTAACGTTTTAATAAGACTTTGTAGGCTTGAACTAAAGCTACATATTTAGTAGCAATCGTACAACAAAGGTTTGCGTATTCAATTGATTGTCTTTATTCTTAATAAACGATTTAATTGATACTGCAAATTTGGATAGACCCAATTAGTATTTTATGCTATCGGTGTAGATTCATATTCGTTGATACTCGGCAGGACGGAAGATATTTGAAAAGGAAAAAGGATTAGGTTTATGCAAAACAGTAGTAGATAGTTACCAAGAGATAAGTATGCTTCACACAGATCCAGGACTTCAATTTGTATAACTTTAGTTTCGGAAGGACTATGTAGGTACTGTACATGAAATTTGAATAATTCGCCAGGATATAATCATCTTGAGGGTTTACTAAAGCATGAGTATCAAACTTTACCCTTTAGGCAAGTTGTTCTTACATAGATAGGTATAATGTGTTTAACATTAAATTACATTTTT